TCATTCTTTCACTCGTTGATTCATTCGTTCAGTGGTCCCTGCAACCGGCATTCGGGGAAGTGTCAGGACCCGGTGCGCTGGGGGACCCCCAGAGCCGGGTGGAGGTCGGGCGAGGGGGACAGACACCCCGACACCCCGGTGCAGCGGCACGGGAAAAGCAGTGCTGATCTATCGAGCCGCGGGCATCGGAGTCCTAGCCGGAGTCACGGCGCGGGTGCCGGGCATGTGGCGGGGTCTGGACTGTGGGAACGTCCGCCGGCCTCGTTGACCTTGACCCGCACAAATCCCACAGTCCCGGCGTCGAGCCCAGCAGAGGGCACTCACCACGCGCGCTCCTCATTCCCTCTGCCCCTTTCTGATTCATCCCTTCCTCGCTTCACCCACCTCTTTCCCTGTCCTCCCTTGTGCTTCCTGCTCCCCCGCTGGCCTTGGACCCGCTCCCCAGGCAGGTCTACGGGTGACTGTCAGCGTGGCCCGGCGGCCGCTGGGGATTTTGCCAGTAGGTTGCCTGTTTAAAGGCCGCTGCCCACACATCTGCTACGCAGGAGAGGCTTCTCCTGAGAAATCTGCAGCGCTGACAACCACTGCACTCCTTAGTGGTTGCCCTCTGCCCGCCACCCCATTTCTCTCTGCCTTTGTCCCCCCCCCCCCCTCCCCAGTCTTACCCAGATCCACAACATTTTCTCCCTTCACACAGCACTCAGTGTAAGTCCAGCTCTTTCTGCTGACCTGCATTTCAGCTGCCTGCTGGACTTCTTTGTGGGTGTCCAGTAGGCATGTCTTGAATTGTGTGATCCTTTCCCTGCTCATCCATCCATCTGTCCATCCGTCCATCCATCATCCATCCCCAGGTCCTCCGAGGGCCTGCCCTGGCTCAGCCCTGGAGGGCTGCAGTAACAGGACAGACTCGGTCGTGGCCTTTGAGACCAGGTGGTCATTTTAAAGAAGGTGCCCTGAGATTCTATCACACAGGACCCTGCTCTGGGCCATCAGGAAAGGCCTGAGGGTGGTCAGGACTGAGGGTGGGGGGAGGTCCCTTTAGCACCAGCACGGGATAAACAGTGCAGGTGTTCCCCACCTGCCGTCCTCCTCCAGTCAGGGACCCGAGCTGGCGCTGCTGCCTTTGCCTCTTACCTGGGCATCTTTCCTGGCGAGCTTCAGAAGACACCGCTTTGTGCAGGTGGCTTTGGCACCAACATGCCTGACTGAGTCCAACATCTTTAGCCTGACATTCAAGGCCTGTCATACCCTATATTACGCCTCCCTTCTCAGCATCAACTCAGCCAAGGGGCTGCTGGCCTGGTTTTCTGCGCCTTCACCCCTAAGGACTGAGACACGCTCCCCCGGAAGCACTGGGTCCCTGTGGTAGCCATTAGAGGAGGGGGAGAGTGGTTGCCAATGGCAAATAATCTAAAAATGTTTCTCCTTCAGGTGGTTTAATAGAAGTCTGCTTCCCCCCAGTGAGAATTCATGTTGCAAAAGGTCACTGGCTTATTGAACAGTAGGTCACAAGGTCATATCCCACTGGAGAGGCTGGAATATTAATCAGGCCTAAAGGGTAGGTGGCATTTGGCCCCACCAGTGCCTGGTCAGTGGCACCTTGGGCCAGCGGGGCACAGCTGCCTGGCCTCTCCCAGCTCTGCATTTTACTAATGGATCCAGCCTTGGGCATATTACTTAATGCCAGTTTCCTCACCTGTACAGCTGGCATCATGATAGTATCTTTCCCAGCATCATGGCAAGTCAGACATCTGTTGAATTAGGTTTGGGACCTTGTCTCTAGAGTCCAAATGAGTTATTTACAGTCATCCCCTCCCCCAAGAAAGCTGATTCTGCATCCCGGCAGGTGGTGGGGAGATGGCAGGTGGGTCCTGCACAGTGGCCCCCTGGGGGCAGCGTCATCCTGCTCAGCCATGCCTCTTCTCTGCCTTCTCTGTCCTGTGGCAGCTTCCTCTTCGCTGCACCCAGCGGATGTTTGCCTCGCAGACTGACGGGGAGCTCAAAGTAACCCAAATCCTCAAAGAAAGCTTTCCTCGAGCTACAACTATCAAAGTCACTGACATTTCAGGTAAGGTTTCCTCTTCTTCCCGCTGAGTTTGATAGGATTTTGTTCTCTGGAGGGGCAGGGGGCAGGGAGGGGGCGGTGGGCTTAGCAAAAGGCACTTGATTGCTCCTTAATGCGGGTGGCTCTGGGGCAGATGTGGAAGAGGGGCTACAGAAACATGGAGGGAGACTGTGGGGATGAGTTCCCTCTCCGTCACCCCTGGGCTCTGGTCCGGCCTTTAATTTGACCGCCAGGTGGGCTTTACAGAAATTCCCCCACATTCTCCTGATGCCCTCGAACGTCAGAGCTGGAGCGGACCAGGGGGAGTTTGTCCCTTTGAGGAAAGTAACTGCCTCCCTTTCCTCACGGAGAGATGAGCCCAGGGAGGCCCAGGAACCTGCCCAGCCCCTCACAGGGAGGAGGCGGCCAACCAGGACCCAGGGCAGACTCTGGCCTGAGCCGGTTTCCTGCCCCAGCCAGACCGTGCATTCCTCAGGCCGGCTGTGTGGTAGGAGCTGACTGGGCAGTCACCTCCTGCACCCACAGGACGGGGGAGATAGGGCCTTTTGCCAGACACACCCATGCGGGGGGCGGGGGGGAGCTTGGCAGTGGGCGGGCACCTGACTCCCACACCCGGACTCGGTCTTGGCCGCTCTGCACAGCCACAACAGCCCACAGTCTTTTCTGAGAACGTAACATTGGGAGGTTTAGAAAAAAGTGTTGTTCTGGGAATAGAGATGAATCAATCTGAAGATCCTTTGGAGTGGGAGGTGGGGTGCGCACTCTGCCGGGGTCTCGGCAATGCTGAGGCCTTGATATCACCAGCCCTGTACCTGCCCAGGCCCACGTAGGGCAGAGCCGGAACTTGACCTCCTGTCTGACTCTGCCCAGCCTGGGGCCGAGTACAGAAAGGGCATTGAGGCTGGCAGCCTTGGTTTAAGCAAAGCTTGGACTCAGGGCTCGTAAGAGAAGGGTAACAGAGCACTTTGCACACAGTGGCCTGGTGTAACAGCACAGGGGGAAATTCTCTTTCTCATCAGTCACAGCACTAGCTCCCCAGCCATGTGGAGACAGAGCTTGGTCAGGGTGTGGATGAGTCCACCACAAGCTCTGCCTCGAGCACTTCACCAGAAAGCTGCTCCCTCCCTGCCGAAGCCCTGATGAAACACTCGGTGCTGCTTACAGAGCAGGAGGCGCTGGAGAGAGACCCGCCTGGCGGCCAGCGGCCAGCGGCCAGCGTTGTTGTTGTGGTTGTTAATCCTCACCCGAGGATATTTTTTCCATTGATTTTTTAAAGAGAGTGTAAGGGAGGGACGGAGAGAGAAAGGGAGAAGCTTCCAAGTGAGAGATTGGTTGCCTCCCAGGCATGTGCCCTTGATTGGGAATTGAACCCGTGACCCTTCTGTTGCTGGGCCAACTCTCTAACCATTTAACAACACTGGCCAGGGCTGCAGCTCCTATGTCCCTGTCTCTCTTGCACATCCTTGTTCCTTTCTTTTGGGTAGTATTCTAGTTTTCAAACCAAATTTTAGTGTATTTTTGCACTAAAAAAAGCAATTGCTGGTATAGTTTGAAGGTGGAACACTGAAATTCAGTCCCTCCCACCCTCTTCCACGGCATTTTTTGGCTTAATAAAAGGAAATACCAGGAAAACCTGCATTCGTGCCTTATCTTTCCTCCCCCACAAGTGATAACCCTGGGTGGGGCACCTGCCTTGCAAAAGGAGGAACACGTTTTGGATGGGGGCAGCCTGCCAGGAGGTGTGTGTGCTCAGACCCTAAGCCGTAGCCTGCTTCTAACAGTCTTAGCAACTTTCTGCTGAACAGTAGTATTCAGACCTCGAGACTGTGCGGGACTCCACGGACCTGCTGGGCTGTGGGGCCCTGACTTAATAATGGAAACGCTTTCAAACTGCGTTTATTTCAGGAGGCTGTGGGGCGATGTATGAGATCCAAATCGAGTCAGAAGAATTTAAGGAGAAGAGGACTGTCCAGCAGCACCAGATGGTAAATCAGGTCAGAGAGGAACAGCGCCCCTTTGCCCCTCCACCCCTGTCCCTACATCCGGGAGGGCCTGCCAGGCGGCATGGTATTTGACTGGCAGTCGTAGGAAAGAATAATGCAGTGCCACAGTCATGCCAACAGGACCCAGGACTGAGAAAATGTAAGCGGGAACTATCTGGAATCCATTGTGGACAATTACGGCTTCTTTTCAAAACGGAAAACAACCCACCTAATAGTTTTGTTGTGGTTTTGTATGAGCCAGTGCTTACTGTTGTGGTCACATATTGGATAGTACTGGTAAATGTAGGCATGCCGAGAGATACGTTTTGTAGATTTGAAGATTTTTTGAGCCTCTCTCCAGGACTGCTTTACAGATTGGGGCACAGCATGGCTGAGAATTGCTCCGGCTGCCCCAGACCCAGTGACAGACACCATAGGGGCCTGAAACATCAGCTTTAACCAGACAAGGCCGGTTTACTTATTATCTACGCTTATTTTACATGGAATTAATACAAGCCTTGACCCTGGGACGTTTCTGTAAACTGGCCGCCTTCAGCAGGGATATTTGGCATCATTCTGGAAGGTCTTCAATGTTGTGAACTAGGTTAGCGTTTGTAAAGCACTGCTTTGGTCATGAGGGCCCCTCTGTGACCCCTTCTACATCACGTTCAGGTGTCCCAGGTTGCTGTTCCAGGCGCCACCACCTGTCTTGGCACACACCCTCCCTTGGCCCCTGCCCCGTGGTCTCTGTGCATGAGCTTCGCCCAGATCGGACCTCCTGCAAGGTGCCCTTCCTCCCTCCTCTGCCCAGCTCAAGTGCTGCCTCCCGACCTGCCTGGCAGGGATGAATGCCCTCCACCCTTGACTCCAGCATTGTCTGCCTTGTATCCAGGGATACTAATGCCCCTTGGCCCTGTCAGCCCTGTGTGGGCTGGTTCCCTTCTAAATCTGTCTTTGGATCATCGTGGAGCCCAACCCTTCACTCGCACGCGGACACCTACGGCCCGAAGGTGCCAGTGGTCTGCCGGGCTTTCGGGGATGGAACAGCAACCACTTGGCTCTTCCAATGGTCCCTGCTTGGTTCCCTGTGGATGGGGAGCCCCTGCCACTGCAGCTCACACTCCTCCACCCTCAGGAGTGAACTCACCATTCCTCTGGGCCCCTGCTGACTCGTGGGCCAGGCCCCCAGGGGTGCCAGGAGAACAAGTGTTTCTTCCCTTGCATCCTGTTCCCGCCTGGGGAGCAGCCGCAGGGAGGAGAGTGAGCACTGACCTGGCTCTCCACTTCGCAGTGGGATCTGAGCCTTCGTTTCCTCTTCGGCAAAGATCGCATGAGGTATTGCCCACACGTGCCCAGCCTCGTGCCGGCATGTGGAAGGCATTTGGTAAACAGCAGTTGCCCTCTCCTCTTCTCTGGCCCCTTTCCTGTCTGGTGCTCGTCACCTGGGTCCTCACGAGGGTGCCTCCGCCTGTGTCTCCCCAGCTCAGAGCCCTTCCCTGTGCATCCTGGTTGCCCACAGAGTCCAGTCCCACCCTCCCGGCCTGGGATCACCAGTCCCTGTGTGGCCTGCCTTAGTTCGCCCCTCAGATACCTGACTGGAAGCCAGGCTTTTCCTGGGGAGCCACGGTGCGTTCCCAGCCTTTCCCCACCTTGTGCTCCTGGGCCCGATGCCCTGTCCCTCTCTGCCCATTCCATCCCCAGCTGTCCCGCTCCTGGGCTGCCTCCTGCACGAGTGGCCAGTTCAGTAGCAGACACTCCCTCCTGGGAACACCCACCACAGCCCTGAGCCGGCTTGGGGTCTGACAGCACCCATCACTGCACTGAGTCAATTTCTCATGGACTTGTGTTACTTCTCTTGCCTCTCTCATCATTTTCCCGTGGCTTTTCCATCTGTGTCCCCAGATGAAAACCGGTGTCACACCTGAACCACTCAGGCTGGGTCAGGGGCATAGCTCCCTCAATGCCAGGCCAGTTGGCAGTCCCACCAGCAAGCAGCACACAACGTGGAAAGCAGCTGTTCCCCAGGAGAAGGGAGATGGCTGGACAGACTGGGGGGGAAATGTCCACCCCACTGTGATGGTCAGATTTGGGCCTAATGTAAAGGACGTGGACTCTTCCTCTGCATTGATTATACACTCCCGTGGTCCACGCCTCCCTGGGCCCAGTAGCTTTCCTCTTGGCAAGCCAGAGAAATGAATGCAGTTTGGCTGTGGTGGCTCATTCAGGTTTGTGCCCTGGTGCTGAGTCTCATATTTGACAACTTTATTTTTCAAGTAAAAGTGGGCTATTTGTGCTAAATAGTCTGGTTTTAAAGAACAGCTGCTTGATGTTTGAAATAGCAAAACACAAAAAACAGCCTAATAGTTCATCATGATGGGCTGGGCTGAACAGTTATGATAGATCCATACGCCAGGCTGACGCAAACAAGGAATGTGCTCTTTATGCCGATACAGAACGCTCTCCAGTGGTGAGGGAGAAAGCAGAGTGTAGAACAGTGTGTTTAAAGTGCTACCATTTTGTTTTAAAAAGGTAATGTGGGGGGGGGGATATATATTTATATTAGCTTGACTATGCAATGTTGAGTCTTCGCATAGAAACTAACAGCAGTTCTCTATTGGGCAGGGGTTCTTAACCTGTGGGTCGCGACCCCTTTGGCGGTCGACCGACCCTTTCACAGGGGTCGCCTAAGACCATCCTTCATATCAGATATTTACATTACGATTCATAATAGTAGCAACATTACAGTTATGAAGTAGCAACGAAATAATTTTATGGTTGGGTCACAACATGAGGAACTGTATTTAAAGGGCCAGAAGGTTGACAACCACTGCTATTGGGGGACGGAGGTGGAAACTGGGGGATAGAGGGCAGGTGTGGGAGGGAGATGTCACTATATGCCTTTTTAGGCCTCTGATTTTTGAGCCAGGTTAGATTCTGATTTAAAAAAAGAAATAGTTTTCCAAAAAATGGGAAAAGTGCTGCAAGAAGGTGCACAGTGTCTTACAGATAGAGAGCTGTATGAAGATACTGTCTGAGGGACTCATTGTAGCCAGTACCATATACAAAGGAAATGATGATGCTCTTTTCCTTCCTTAGGCCCTAAAGGAAGAAATCAAAGGAATGCACGGATTGCGGATATTTACCTCTGTCCCCAAACACTGACCACGCCCTGGCTGCATAGATGCTGCTGCTTAAAACCTTGGATGAACTTGACCATTCTTTCCTAGGCATTTGCCAAAAAATTTATCTATTTTGTTCATAGACATTTCCATGTTATAATTATAGAAGATTATGTTATCTATTTAGATGTTAATTAAAGGCAACAGATAACTGAGTCTTTTGAGGAGTCATTAATAACCCTTCTAGTTCCTTTATTTTAGGAGCAATGTCCTTTTGTCCAGCGTGGCCTTGTCCTTGGACAGCTCCGTCCTGCTGCTGGAGAGGCAGGATGGAGTGCTAGCTACTTTTGTCTTGTCATGAGACCTCCTTGTTTGTCATCTATGAAATGGCTCAGGCCTAATCTTATCGAACAGAAAAGAAAAGCCCTACCTGGTTTGGCTCAGTGGATAGAGTGTCACCCTGCGGACTGAAGGGTCCCAGGTTCGATTCCGGTCAAGGGCCCATGCTTGGGTTGTGTGCTCAATCCCCAGTAGGGGGCGTGCAGGAGGCAGCCAATCAACGATTCTCTCTCATCATTGATGTTTCTATCTCTCCTTTTCCTTCTCTGAAATCATTAAAAGTATATTAAGAAGAGAAAAGATCCTTTGGTTTCGCTCTTCCCATAGTTTACCACTCTCTTTCCCTCCCCTCCTAACTTCTTCCGAGAATGATTTTGGACCCTCGTTTTCTTACTCCCTGGATAGACTCAGGATTTGGTGCTGCCTGGATCAGGATCTTTGTCCTGTGTTTGGAGATCCCCACCTCTGCATCTCGGGGGAGGTGGAGCCCCACTCCCGACAGGAGCTGAAAGGCTTGCTTTCCTAGCTCTCTTGAAAGTAAGGCACAGGCAGATGTAGACTCAGCCAGGCAGCTCTGCCCAGGACTTTGAATTGGGAGCCGGTGACACCAGGAAGCGGGGGCAGTGGTGCATTGATTCTGGCCGTGACGGGTAACTGACACACCTGTGTGTTACTGGGAGGACCGAGGCATTTCACATGTTGAAGTAAGGGTTGATGAGCCAAACTGCAGAAAGGATAAGGGTACAGCTAAATGGCAGGAACACCAGTGCCACCAGGCCTTTGCATCTGCTGTCTGCTTCTCTGCAGATCAGTATTATTATTATTTTTAAATTTTATTTTATTTTATTTTTAAATATATTTCACTGATTTTTTACAGAGAGGAAGGGAGAAGGGATAGAGAGCCAGAAACATCGATGAGAGAGAAACATCGATCAGCTGCCTCCTGCACACTCCCCACTGGGGATGTGCCCGCAACCAAGGTACATGCCCTGACTGGAATCGAACCCGGGACCCTTGAGTCCGCAGGCTGACGCTCTATCCACTGAGCCAAACCGGCCAGGGCATATTATTTTTAAATTTTAAATTCTCACCCAAGGATGTTTTAAATTAAATTTTAGAGAGAGAAGACGGGAGAGAGAGAGAAACATTGATGTGAGAGAAACAATGATCGTTCGCCTCCTACATGCGCCCTGACTGGGGAACCCAACCTGAAACCTAGGTAGGTGCCCTGACTGGGAATCGAACCTTCAACCTTTTGGTGCATGGACGATGCTCCAACCAACTGAGCCAACGGGCCAGGGCAGGTCAGCATCATTATCACTCACTTTGCATTGGTGTCTACCATATAGTGGTGATTATATTGCTAGTAGCTCTTAATTTTTATATATATATATTTAAATTTTATTTTTCAATTACAGTTTACATTCAATATTATTTTGTATTAGTTCCAGGTGTACAGCATAGTGCTTAGACAATCATATGCTTTACAAAGTGTTCCCCCTAATATTTCCAGCACCCACCTGGTACCATACATTAATTTTTATATCGTAAATGTTGCCCAGTCAGCATGGCTCAGTGGTTGAGCATCAACCTATGAACCAGGAGGTCACATGCCCAGGTTGCAGGATCAATCCCCAGTGTGGGGCATGCAGGAGGCAGCTGATCAGTGATTCTCATCATTGATGTTTCTATCTTTTCCTTCCTCTCAATAAAAATATATTTTTAAAAAATATATTCAGGCCAGGAGAAGGGCATACTTTCCTTCCAAGTTCAGTTCAAAAATGCCAGGGAAGGCCTCTGATCTGCCCCTCTTGAATCAGGAGCCACCCTGGACCAATCAATCAGCTGGAGTCTGAGAATCATGTCTCTAGACTCTGGAGAAGGAAGGAGCAGCTGCCAGAAGAAGTTGGACTTCTGTTCTCCACAGAAGAGGCCGGAACAAAGCAACAGGTGTTCTCGACTAGAGGAAAAGGTATTGTGGCCTTGCTAGCCTCCTAGGAGTCTGGGGATGTCAGAGAAATTCGCCTCTCCTCTGCTTCACCCCACCCCACCCACCCCAGGGGATGCTCAGGCCCAGTGAAGTGTGTCAATTCTACCAGTTCTGCATGTCTGCGTCCAAATCTGGCAACAAGAAATTTTTAAAGTAGCCCTCCCAAGTTGTTCTTCCCTCAAGTTAAAAGGAAAATTGGAAGAGGAATCACCGGGTTTATTTTTTAGTTGATTAAAAAAGACGAAGTTGCTCCTTTTAGTAGCCAGAGTATAACATGGCATCTGATACAGCCAACTCCTAGCTTTCTGATTAAGTGCTCTGTGGAAACTGCTGAATTATGAAAGATGATATGTTTTCTGAGCTAAGTGTCTTTAAAAAACTGTACGGTTTTCCAGTGGAAAATTCAGAGTCCTGCCCTAGCCGGTTTGGCTCAGTAGAGTGTCAGCCTGTGGACTGGAGGGTCCTGGGTTTGAATCCAAGGGCATGTGCCTCAGTTGCAGGCTTGATACCTGGCCCTGGTTGGGGCACGTGCAGGAGGCAACCAATTGATCTATCTCACATCGATGTTTCTCTCTGTCTCTCCCCTTCTCTTCCACTCTCTAAAAATCAATGGAAAATATCTTGGGTGAGGATGAACAACAACAAAAGAAAATTCAGAATCTTGAGGTAGGTGCTTGCTGACGAGGCAAGCCACTAAAGGGAGCTGGCCTGTCCACAGCCCTCCCCCAAGCCGGTTTGTTCCAGGGGTTCCTGTAGGCCCCTCTCACCCCTGACTAGACCACCCAGCTAGCGGTCATGGGGTCAGCTGGCCTGCAATCCGGGAGAGGACCTGGGGCCACACAGCCCCACCCAACACTCATCGTAGCAAGGAGTCAATACATCCAATTCCCTTTCGTGGGAACCAAACTGGAAAGGGTGACCCAGTAAAGCTCAGGGCAGACAAAGCTGGGCATTCACATCAGGAGAATCCATCAGGTAAAGAGCAAAAGAGCCCTGGGATGTGTCATGAGGTTCTGGGAGTCCAGGTTAAGAGAAGAGGGCACTATAAGGTGGCGTGATTCTCAGTGGCTGTGAGAACCACCTGGGGATTGAAATCGCTCCCACCTGAGTCCCTCTCAGGTCTAAGAGGCTGGCTAGTGACGGGTGGGGAGAGTAGACACACAGAGACCAGGTAGTCAAAGTTAGACTCGGAGAGGATGAGTCAGGCTCCCTCCCCCGGTCCCTCTACCCCTGTAAGGCCTGCCCAGCGCACCCTCTTGTCCCTCCAGGGAGCTTCTGTGCATGCCTCAGTTTGCCTGCTTTCCTCCATCCATCACCCGTCTCTGGGAGCTGCCCCCATGCCCCTAATTCCACAGGGTAGAAGGCGGCAGAGCGCCAGTGCCCCCTGAGCCCGTGCAGGCCCCTGACCTCACCTGGGCGGGATGCAGCCTGCAGATCCGTGGGAAAAGGACACCCGCTGTGACGGTCTCCCCGGAGCACCTGGAGCAGAGCAGGCCCGGTCCAGCGCCGCCCATGCGTTCCTCACCTGTGCTTCTTGGAGAGGCCTCTGTAAGACACGTGGGCACATATCTGAACCCTGGCCTGCGTCCTAAAGAACCCAAAGCACATCTCCCAGCTCTTCCCCTGGGACCCGCGGGAGGGCGTCTCAACTCCTTACCAATGAACCCGACTTTTGACACCTTTTATGGTTGCATTTGCTCTAATAATGCTGGTAGGATTAAGTATCTTAGGCACCTCATTTCAGGGTATTGATCTCATAGGTTGTTGTAAGATACCCTTCCACTCTGAATTTAAAAGAACATTTATGCACTTTCATGTATTTTGAGAAAAATATGTTTATTAGAGAGGCAGAAAAAAGGTACAACTAAAAGATGCCAGATATATTATTTTCTTTTAGAGTAAGAATAAAAAGAAACAATCATGATGACCTTTATTCAAACACAATTTATTCAGAACCCAAGTGTCTATAATCCGTTCATGCGTAGCATCCAGCAGGCACCTCTCCAGCAGTTATAAAAACAAAAGGTCTTGCCCTAGCCGGTTTGGCTCAGTGGCTAGAGCATCAGCTGGCAGACTGAAGGGTCCCGGGTTCCATTCTGGCCAAGAACATGTACCTTGGTTGCAGACTCCATCCCCAGTAAGGGGCATGCAGGAGGCAGCTCATCAATGTTTCTATCTCTCTATCCCTCTCCCTTCCTCTCTCTCAAATCAATAAAAAAAAAATATTAAAAAAAAGGAAAGGTCTTTAAGCAGCAGAATAAGCAGCTAAACAAATGGATAAAAGAGTAAAAAGTTTAAACAACTGAAGTTCAAATAATAACTTTAGGTTTTATTTTTAAACTATTTTTAGAACAGTTTATATAACTTTCTGGAACACTTTTGATTTACAGAAAAATTGAGAAGATAGTACAGAGTTCCTTTATACCCCACACTGTTTCCTCTCTTGAAGGCTTACACGACTATGGTACTTCTGTTACAATTAATGGACCAGCATTAATTCAGTATTGCAAATGAAAGCCCATAGTTTATTCCGATTTCCTTAGTTTTTCCCTAATGTCTTTTGCCAGGTCTGTCCTCCACGATACCACATTCCATTAGTTATCGTGGCTCCTTAGGCTCCTCTTGGCCATGACAATTTCTCAGAATGTTCTTGTTTTTGATGACCCTTTAGTTTATATATATATATGAAGATGTGGGACATTGACTAAACAGTTTAAGATTTTACACACACACACATACACACACACATTTTATTGATTTCAGAGAGGAAGGGAGAGGGAGAAAAAGATAGAAACATCAATAATAAGAGAGAATCATTGATTGGCTGCCTCCAGCACACCCTCTACTGGGGATCGAGCCTGCAACCTAGGTATGTGCCCTTGACAGG